GTATATTAAGATACTTCTCGTATAAACTTTTATAGAGTTGGGCCGTTTTGCAAAAGATAAGTTAAGATTTAAATTTGTGAAAGACTGGGAAGATGTAAAGGAAGCATTATTCTTGTTAAGTAAGGAGCTGTTTGAACATATTTTAAGGTTATATTCAGCTTAGAAAAAATTAAATTTCAAGTAGTCAATCTGTTAAATTCCTTTTATCTCTTTGTCTCTGATTAAGACCATCCCCACACACACGTAAGCCACCGTTTTAATTTGGACAGATTCTTTTTCTAAAAAATTTAGAATATAGTTCCATTTAAAAAATGAGCCTCGTATGGATAGTTTTGATTTGGTATAGAGACAAATTAATTGTCCATCAGCTTTCTCAGGTTACATTGTCCTGTTACATCTCAAACTTCTTAAAAATGATATTGAATTAGAAATGTCAGAATACAATGCCTAAAAAATATATCTTTTGAAAATCACTTTCAGAAGCTAGGAGAAGGCCATATTTACATAATGCATATAATTTTTATACAATTTTATAATTTTTATAAATTTTATGAATTCTCATGAGAAAACTTTCACATTTTCTTATTTTCCTTATTTATGTTTGCGAGCTGCTTCTTATTTCCCCAGTGTTATTTGAAACATCTTCCATCGTAAGAAAGTGGCTTATGAAAGTGAGTTGAGACACTGTGGCCTGGGCAGCTAACTGGACACCGGTGGTGACTCTTTTAATCATATCGTTAATCGGAGACTGAAGAGACTAAGCACGTGTGTCAAACGAGTTAAATGTGGCAATGAAGAATGACTAATCCCGTGGAGGGGAGCGCGAGCCCCTCCCTGCACAGTTAAAAGTGGGGGGCAGAGTTGTAACTTCTCTGAAGGGTCTGTAAAACTAATGATTAAAACCAGACTCAGGGAATCTGGTGCCTGCGAGGCCCCTGCCTGATCACGGATGGGCCTCTGCGTCCCAGAGGCCAGGGAAAGCCCCACCCAGCTGTTTCCTTCCACCCCTGGCTCCCCACGGCCTCCTGCAGCCTTTGTGGGGACCCCCCCACATACCCCGCATCCATCGCCAAAGTTTTCAGCTCAGACCTGATGTAGCCACACAGGCAGCCAGAGGGCGAAGCCAAACCCGGCCCCTTGCTGTGCCCGCTCCCTCTGCCCCGGGTCCCAACGCGCCCCTGCCTGGGGTGGCTGGTCCCGCGGTGATTCACGACCTCCTGCTCACCTGCTCTTCCCCTGGTAGTGGTCGAAGCCAGGCTCCGTGTCCAGGTGGCCCTTCTCCACGTGGCCCATGTGGCCCTTTAGCGTTGTCTCCAGAAGTCGGCAAGGCGTGAGCACTGCGTTCCTTTAAGATAACAATACAGGAACATCCAGTGACAGCACGTGCTTAGAAAGGAGTGAAAACAGGTGTAGCAAATCGTTTCATTGTGACAAAGTGACGATCAGCAGCCTCTTCCCCGAAAATTGCGTAGTTGAAAGGACTACTGTCAAAGACTTGTGCGTCTGAGGTCTGGGAACGGTTTTTAAAATTCACTTGTTTTCCTCTTAAGCAGAAAGCTTACATAACCCCTAATGTGCTGGATAAACACAGGGCCCCCAGAGACCCATTTTCTCCCTGGCTGGCTCTTACCTCAGCCCAGTGTAGCTTTTAACCGTGTGCGATTCACTCCTCAGGGGTAACTACTCACCTTCCTCTGCTTCCTATTCATTTTCTCTCTGTCGCTGCTTTGGCCTGGCTGGAAATGTCAGGACGAGGTGGCATGTGCTTCGGTCAGGACGGGCTGTGTTCTGCCTGCCCCGCCTGTGTTACTTGGCTCCTGCAGGACAAATACCGCGGATGCCGTGTCTCCGGTTGGAACTGAGACGCGTCAAGCATCGGCCTGGTTTCTTCAGCTAATGAGGTTTTGCTGAAAAATGAATGTAATGAAAAAATGCCAAATATTGGCCGGGTGTACTGATGAAGCCTAATGAGCCTGAATGAGCACCTGTGAGGCCCCCAAGCGGGGACTAGAATGTTCCCACACACTGCCCTGAGGCCGCCCGGCTCGGGGGAGGCGGGCCGTCCACTGTCGGCTTCTGTTCCCTTTTCTCCTGTCCCTCCTCCCTGGTCCTTCTCCCACTAAAAGGCCTTTTGCAGCTGGCCAGGGTGCATCATTTTATGCCGCGTCCGGCATAGTAAAATCAGAGATACTTAGAGCAGGGCTTGACACAGGGCTCGCAAAAATAAGAACTGTGAGTTTTATATGCTGTAGACGTTATTTAAGAGGAGAGGTAATTTTTAAATTTAATTGCCAAGAACTTAAGGATTGCGTTCTATCAAAAAGCATGTAAGAGAACAGCTCTTTCGTAGACAGCACTTGGAGTTGAGTTTCCTTGAAACGTTAACTCAGATGGACACGGAGTAGACTTTGGGGGGAACATGAAGGCCGTTGCTCCCTACTCCGCTCCCCACGATCGTAACATGTTCCCATAATCGTGTGATCGTTAGTTTTTACGCGTCACCTTGACTGGGACGTGGGGTGCCCAAGTATTTGGTCTAACGTTTCCCCGGACGAGGGCGAGCGTGTTTTCGGATGGGTGGCGGGTGCTTCCGCTACGGGAGTGGACTTCGTCCTCGCCGAAGCGTGCCCAAAGCCCTTCCCGAGAGATGGCGTGAGTATTCCAGGCGACTCGTACAGACACTCTGCTCTTGCCTGTGGGGACAGGAGACTCTGGGGCGCCCCGGCGTTCGGCAGAGTTCATGAGGAGACTGGGTCGAAAGAGCGAGTCAAGAACCGGGTAGACGGAAGGAACAGAAAAAGCAGCCCCGGGGTAGGAGGACAGTGGACAGGACTTGGGACGGACATGGGCGGTGGGCGATTCAGAGCGCAGTGCTGCACCGGCCTGGGTCCGCACGCTCGCTGTCCTGCTTGCTGGCTCTGTGACCTTGGACGAGTGAGTTAGGCTGCCTGCGCCTCGTTTCGTTTTCTGCGAAATGGGGATAACGTTCTGTTGAAGCGCTGAGCACGGCGTCGATGGTTATATGAAGTCGCTGCTGCGGTTACTTCTGAAACCTGAACATCGCTATGGAAGGGAAAGAAGATTCGGCACACTCTGTGAGGTGCGGGTTAACAGGAGCTTGGTGACGACGTGGATACGGAGCGTAAGAGAGAGAGACTCAGATTATTCCGAGGTCCCGAGCTGGAGCGAGCAGCCGGCTTGGGGTAGGGGTGGAGTTGCCGAGGAGTCGAGTTTTAGAACTGTTAACTTTGGAAATAACCAAGAGAAAAGTCTAGAAAGCAGTCGGAACTCGAGAGAAGGTTTAAGACTAGAAATGTAAATACGGGCTCATCGGCCTAGAGGGGACGACCGACTCCAGCCGAGCGCGTGAGCTTGGTGAGAAGCCCAGATTTGGGGGGCGGGGCTGAAGGGAAGACCCGGGACTCAGCGCGAGGATCTCCGTCTCCAAAGGCAGAGCAGGTCGGATGGGGGGGCGGAGGTACGGAGACGAGGAGCAGGGGCAGGCGGCTGTAGGTCCCGTGCGTGTCCGGGAAAGTAAAGCCGGCAAAATCGGCACCGTGGCAAGTCCCCTGAGGGTTTCTTGTAAACGATGTTGGGAATTCTTTGGAGAAGAACCATCCCCGATGGGAGAACAGACGGTTCTAGCGTGTGAACGATGGCAGCCCGTAGGACCCAGGGTGACGTGAGCATCCTGCAGCTTCCACAAGGAACTGGGGGCAGCGTTCCTAGGATGGGTCTGAAACCGGAGCGAGTATTACCGCCCTTTATTGTTATTTTGCATCAAATAAATACTGTGCCTCGCAGTTTATTTTCTCTTTTTGATGAATGCTAGATTTCATCCAAGAAAAACAAAGGCTTAGTGTTTTCATTTGTCATCAGAGGTCTTGACGAGACTCTGAATAATTAATTTTTTTCATCCTTTTGAGTAGCATTAATTTTTAAGGTCTTTATCAAATAAAATCGAATTTATAGCCTTTTTAATGTATATTTATTTTTGTTGGGCTGTTACATCATATTTTCTCTATTAAGTTAAATCATGGAAGTCTGCCCGAAATGGCATTTTCATGATGATTCTGGGAACCATGTCTTTGACTGCGTGATAGTTACTGCTGATATATGTATTCTGATATTTCTTGCCTTCCTTCGTACATAAATTCCAGTGGCATATTGAATACCAAGAGAGGAACTGACTGATGGTAAATCAAACATTTTTTTAGTATAATTTTAGAAATGTCGGCGTCATTGCTATAAAAAATTATAGTCGATCAATATTTTCAGAGCTTCCTAATACTATAATTTATCGGTGCTTCTTATGGTCTCTGTCAATTATATCCGGCTTAAACGTGGGCTCGTTTTAACAATGGATAGCATGTGCTATAGTGAATCTTTTCCACACAAAAAAGAGTAGCAGATATTCAGCGCTATCTTTGATTAGAACTGAACACCGTGCTAATCACCTAATCAACTGGGTGGTCCCTTCTCCACCATAGGGACCACGTATTAGAAAAAAACTATTTTGATCTATAAAGTGCCAAAGGGAAATGGGCTAGCAACAGAGGGATTAGCCTTATATGTGATTAAGATGTCAAATGAACAATTTTACCCTCAATCTTTTTCTTTTTTTTTTTACTGAGATTACAGAAATTGGGTTTTTATTTTTAGTTCCTCCTCTTCCCTTCAGAGCTAAATGATGGAAAATGACTCTCAGCCCTCAGACTCCTCTTATGCATCATTCAAAGTAGCCCTGACAGGCCGGCCCCTCCAGGACTGCTGAGATTTATGGCTCTCCGTTCCTTGGTGCTCCATTACTTGTCTACACCGTCAAATTGATTAGCAGGCAGTGGAGAGCAAGCAAAGATCGGTGGCCACTTACGGCCGGCGCGTGTCCGTCATGTTAATGAACTGCTCGGAGATGGTTCATGCTGCGCTTGACTCTGACCGCAGCCGATGATGACCGCGTCTTTTCAAATGTTTTCCCTCTCCGTCATTCTGTGTTACAGGGCCCGCTGGAGAACGATTTGGTGGTTCACGTGGCACTCGTGGCGGAAAGCCAACGGTATGAAATCCGGGTGCGCGGTGTGTTCCTGTGGGGGGCGGGGAGGGGTCTCAGTGCTTTCTGCTATAATACTGAGTGTGGTAGTAGAGGCTAATCCCATAGGCCCCTTGACGGAGGTCTAAGCATGTCATCAATGTCCTTGAAGTGCCAGAGCAACATTCTGTCCATGTTTGACCATCATGTTGTCGCGGTCCGTATGAATATCAAAGACTGACCAGTGCCAGTGCCTCCTGGGGTGTAGTTTTGAGAAATTAGCGCAAACCGGTGGCGGGGATGCCCCGAATCAGGGCTCGCCCTCTCGGCCGGTCCCCAGAGCTCCCATCTGATGTTTTATGAGGATGCAAGAGAGCCTCTGGGCCCCAGAGCCGATGGCACGTTGCTGACATTAACCGATTTCAAGTGCGCCCCGAGGTAGCCCGGTCTCTCCCTCCTCCGTTACCGTTTTCCAGACTATTAACTGCACTGTCTCAAAACATCTCTCTCTCCCCCCATGTTCTTTATTCAGGCTTCAAGTTTTTCTCAACACGTACGGTATTCAGACTCAGACGCCTCAGCAGGCAGAACCCATTCAGATATGGGCACAGCAGGAGCTTGTGAAAGTGAGTGAGTTTCGTTCCTGGCCGCTGTGTGGAGGGGCCGGAGCGCGCGATTCCACTTAGTTAACGGTCAAGAGTCACAGTCCAGTCGCGAGATAGGGCCGTTAATCCAGAAGTCTTTCCCATTAAGTCGAGAAAGCCACTTTATCAGACGTGGCTTTCTGTGTGCGTGTACCGTATATCCACACGCTGTTGATTTCTGCTCTTTGCTAAAGTCTGTTACTCACCTCGACCGAGCCCTTAAATAACAAATGAGTCGTGCGAAATTAGTCTTTGCATTTGACTTGATTATTTTCCATCTCATTACCAGTTAAAGAGACCTTCTCATCTAAATGTTTATTGATAATAACTACCTTTCTTTTCCTGTCGCCTTTCTATTTGGAATCTGAAGTGATTCCCACCTCTTTGGTTTACGGTACCTCCAAAGTAATTATAAAGCAGCATCTGAGTTTCTCTTCGCACTTACACACCTGTTCGGATAGGATGAACAGGTGACCGTCGAGGTGGTTTGCAGACGCCAGTCGGCGTGCATTGGGACTGCCAGCGACAGGAGCTTGTTGATTTCCACTCGCCGTTTACGAACCGAACCGCCATTCTTACTTGCTCATTGTTGAGTAAGCAAACAAACTCTGCAGCATGCGACGGAAGTGTTCGGCATAGTCCCTCACGTGACCGAGATTAGTCAGGGAGGTTGATAGAAGAGGTCGATGCCACGATGAAGACTAAGAGCTTAGAGAAGTGGGGTGCACGCTGCACGAGCAGACGCGGGGCCTCAGAGCTGCTGCTGATCACACTGGGCCAGGCCTGCCGGCGGCCCGGCTGGGACCCGGGTCGGGTCCCCCAGAGGACCAGTCCTGCGACAGTGCTAGACCTCCTCTCACAGGTGCGGAGCTCGTCCTGTCCCGGCTAAAGGGACGAGGCTGGCATCGCAGGGATCCCTAGAGCAGGACACACTTTAAAATGACACCGAGCTATAAGTGACAGAAAGGTTTTTATGGTAGAAGAGGGTGACTGAGACCAAGCGGGAAGTGAGGGCGCCCGGGCCAGGGGAGGAGGCGCAGGAGGGGGAGACAAGCTCAGGCCCTAGCGCTGTGCACTCATCATCCACGTCGCCCACTTAATGGCCTTGGACGCTGTGCCATGGCCCCGAGCACTGGGGGAAATCGAGTCACACGTAAAGGACATCTACCCAGATCTGTACATTTTACGTTGCGCGTGGCTGATTAATGTCATAGTCACTGTCTGAAAGAAGAAATCTGGAGTATTTGGACGCGCGCTGAGGGAGGGGGCCACCCAGTGCGAGCACTGTAGTTTCAGTGATGCTCAGAGAGGACTTTTTCCGGCCGGTCGACTTTGTCTAAAACCAGCGCTGTTCCAGAATCCACGTTCACAGCACCCGTGGCTCGGGAGGACATCCAGTTTCTCCCTGTTTCACGCATCAGGTAGCTCCTGAGCACGAGCTGAATCCCATCACAGTGCCAGCTCGGGGGGTCTTCTAAGGACACAACCATGCAGACAACAGCCACGGAGCTAACTCTGGCGTGGGTGCATGCACCGTGACGGGGTGGACTGAGGGCTCTGGGATGACGTTAGTTTTGCATAGGACGAGGTTGATATTTGCAATCAGTTCAGATTATAATCAGTAGATCGTATAGAGACCGTTGGTTTGCTTTTTCCATTTAGGAAACTTTAGGTTAGATTTCTGCCTGTCATCAAATATAAAAATCAATTCCAGACAGATTAAAGGTTTAAATATTTTTTTTTTTTTGAAAAATGATTTAGGTATAAAATCACTAGAAGAAAAAATAGGAAAATGGTTTACAACTGTTGGAAAGGGAAATCCATCTTTTGAATAATACCAGTGCCAAAAAGCCATTAAAGAGATGATTCACAAAGTTGACTAAATATAGCTGAAGATGGCATAAACAACCCGACACATCAGAAAAATGTTCAGAATGAAGTACCACGTGCTGAAGACGGGCAAACTGGGTAAAATATTAGACACAAAGGGTGATAGTCTTAACATACCAAAATCTCTTAGAAACCAAAAAGGGTATCCAATACACAATAGAAAACAGAACAGATGGAAAAAAAAAAACGTATAGAACATACACATAGCCATTAAACATACGGGGCAATGATCGACCACAAAATATTTGAATACGAGAGTATTCAAATCTCATTTTGTCACCCAAGAGAGTGACGGAAGTGGCCCGCGTGCTGGTGACGCTAATGTATTCCGGCCCATTGATTCTGGAGGACGACCGGCGTGGAGTTATGATTCAAAGAGGACGAATCTTCTCTCTGATCCAGCGAGTCTAGAAAATTATCGTGCAGAAATAATAGTACAGCATCCAAAGACGGTTATTAAAGTAGTTTTGAAATAACAAAAAATGGGGTGCTGCCTTCATCAGGGGTGAGTGTCAGACTTCATTGGGGATAAGACGTCGAGTAGGGCATGGAGGCTTCCTGACCAGACGAAGCGCTCAGCTCTCGCACCGAGTCGACCCCAGCTCACCTGCTTTTCCGGCGCAGAGATTCTTAGGTTCCTGCCCCTCTCTGGCGCCCTCCCCTTTTTCTGATGCTTTCAGTCTTTATACGTCTTCAGTCATTTCAAAGTTCAAGTGTAGGTGAACGCATAGGCTCAGTTTATCATCTTGAAATTGGAACGCCACGATGCTAAGTTTTAAAAGATGGGACGCCAAACAGGTTACGTAGTGTACGAACCCACTCGTGTAAACGTACACACATATCGATGTATATGTGTGATGTGAGTGTGTATTTATCTGTGTACTTAAAAAATCTGCAACCCTCTCTTACGCTTCTGGTGTTTCTTAGGGATCACGCAATGAATTACACCCCTTTTAACACACACCAAAGCTGCCTAAGGGCCGGGGACAGTTAACGGGACAGTTCACTCGTAGCATGTGGCTAAAATTTTTCATAAAATCCATGCAATCAGACAAATCAGTAAGGACAAGTTTCTATTTTGGTGGGAAATACTTGAAGGTAGAGACCTAGTAAGGAGGTGTGTGGCCCCATTTTTTAAAACTTTAAAGTGCCAGGTTTTAATCACTCAGAAAGCGTTCGTCTTCCTGTCTCGTTTTATAAATCAGAGCGAGCCATGTCAGGTGTACAGTTACGACGGTGTAAGAACAGCATCAAATTTTAGAACGTCGCTAAGTGGATCTGCAAAAATCTCGCTCTCCAGTCTCTCAGTGCCCCAAATCTAAGTCGGCATCGTTGACTAGCTTGTTCGCATACAAGTCCAGTGACTGCGGTTTTGCTGGCCTCTTTTTCTCTGAAAACATAATAAAATATCAGGACAGTAGTCGGCATGGGGGCGGGGGGAACGGGCGAAAGAGAAAAGCAGGGGTTCTCACCTGACTCATATACAAATTTGTGTCTTACAGGCTTATTTCCACCTGGGGATCAATGAGAAATTGGGACTCTCCGGGAGGCCGGATAGGCCCATTGGCTGCCTCGGGACCTCGAAGGTGCTCATGAGACCCCCGGGAGAGCAGGGTTCGGGTTCTGGTGCCGCTGACCCGCTGGGCATCCGCTCTCACGCTTCCTTATATGTTCTCGGGCCCATTCTCTGAATTGTTATTTTGTACAAGTCAATCTCATTACTCGTTTTGTCTGCCATCGGGAAGTCTCGGGATGAACAGCATCTCACTGCTGTGTTATTTCTAAGCCTGTAAGGTACCTGATTAAAACAGCATTTACTCAAACAGAGGCTTTTTCCATCATAGCACAGGTGGGCTCCTTTAAGTTTATTAGCATATGGATTCAACCAAGAAACTTTAAAATTTCTTAATATTATGAGGCTTTTATACAATATTATTTTATTCGCTTATTCGGAATTAATCATCGATTTTAAATTTCAGTAGGACTTGCGTTACTGTCCCTTTGCCTCTGGTCTGCTTCGTGTTTATTTCTGTTTGTTCATTCCTTCCAGATTTATCGCATCCTGGGAAAGACCGTGGTTTGCTACCCTATCATCTTCGACCTGAGTGATTTTTACATGTCTCAAGACGTTTTACTGCTGATAGATGACATAAAGGTAGCTTCAGAACCCTTCTTATTGAAATGGGATGACTTCGTCTCGACCGGTTTTGTCATGTTATTAAATCGAGCGCTCCTGGGTCTCTGACACCAGGGTGACACGGTGTAAAACGTGGAGGTAAAACAGCAGCCGCACAGGCTTTGGGGGAAGCGTTCACCCGATGGAGCCTGTTTCATCTCTAGTCGTGTGGCTTTGCTGCACCTTCTGCAGATGGAGTGGGAGGAGGTCGTCTGCAAGAGCAGGGGCGGCTGTCTGGGAAACCGTGTTCATATGACAGTAATGGCTTATCTCTTTTTTGAACAAAAGTTGGGTTAGGCGAATAATTTTACGAACGATGTCACGTAAAACTTCAACTAACTCCTGACCATTAGTTTAGAATCTCCTCCACTCCCTTTTCCATTTGCAGTGCAGAGAGGCTGAGTCACGGTCCAGAGCAAGCCGCCTGGAACCGGATCGCGTCCGTAAAATTTGGCCGCACTGTTAACCAGCCCTGCGATCCTGGGCGAGTTACTGAGCTTCTCTGAGTCTCTGTTTTCTCGTCATTATAACTGAATAATAACAGGCCTGTTCTGAGGTTAAACGAGTTAACGTATGTAAAGCACTACTCAGAATAGTGCCTGGCACATGGCGACGTGTTACGTAGGCCTTTGAGATGATGATGACGATGACGATGACGATGACGATGACGAGACAGTAGAAGCTGAGTCAAACACAACTCTCACGTTTCTGATGGTCTCTATAGAGTCAGTCCAATCTCTTCTACCTGCTGTAATATAAATTCATAATAACGTGGAGTGAGAATTAATCTTCTGGATGATAACCCTGGGCTGGTTTTTCCCTCCCCAGGACCATTATTTTACCATATTTATTAGGTCGCGTGCGCGCGCGCACACACACACACACACGCACAGACACACACGCACACGGCATGAAGACGTGTGCTCTGATTACTTCAAGGAGCAAAGTTCACAATCAAAATGGTGTCTAGCTTAACGTGTGTGTATTCATCCTCGTATACGTGTACGTGTCAGAACATTTCTATATCATCCAGCGTTTGTGAATTGTCTCGATATGTACGCGTTTCGTTAGCTCTTTGCCGCTAACGACTGAGCGCGCCGATCAGCTCAGGCCGAGTGCCGCTGCCCCCGGCCTCACCTTGTGTTTTGACAGAATGCGCTGCAGTTCATTAAGCAGTACTGGAAGATGCACGGGCGCCCGCTTTTCCTCGTTCTCATCCGGGAGGACAACATAAGGTATGTCAAGGGAAGGGAAGTGTGACAGGAAGCCCTTGCAGGCGGGGCCTCCTCGGGATTCCGTACCTTCTCGGTGGGGGGCAGAGCTCTTAGTTGGTGTAAAGGGCATTTCAGTGGAAGATGGTTCATTTCTCACTCTGTTGTTAATACGCGCATTTTGTTGATCTGTTTGTGCTTTTCAGAGGCAGCCGATTCAGCCCCATACTAGACATGCTGGCATCCTTTAAAAAAGGCATGGTCGGAGGGGTCAAGGTCCACGCTGACCGCCTGCAGGTAGTGTTCTGGGTCCACGTGTTTCTGTGGTCGGGACGCTTGGGCCGCAGACGCAGCGGAGTCTCAGCGTGTTCTCGCGAAGGTTTTATTCCGTACCTACCTCCCTAGTCCCGTTGTCGCCGTCCTGTTTATACAATGCTCCCGATCTGAGGCTGGCGCACTTGCCCCGGTTTCCCAAGCAGAATGTGACACTTCAGTGGCTCATCTCGGCCCTCGCTTTTGCGTTTGGGGAAGCCGAGTCCAGCGCGGCGAGGACACCTGCTGTGTGACCGTGACCATGGGCGCCTGGGCGCACACAGCTGCGGGCTCCAGGACCAGTGCTCTGTTCCCCAGTCCATGGTAGCAGCCAGAGTGGAGACGGTCCTCGTTCCCTTCAGAATTTCTCAGAATCATCTTCGAAGCTCCTGAATCTCAAGCCCTCTGCGGTCCCTGCTGGCCGCATGGTCTCTCTGCCTGGTTGTCTCCAGCTAATCACGCTCTATGCTTCCCCAACACCCACTAATTACTGTGTTCTGAGCCCAAGCAGCCCCTCTGCCCACGCCACCCCCTCTGTCTGGAGCGTCCTGCCACCCTCGGGACCTCTGGGCTCTGAAGTCCTGCCACGTGCTAAGGGCCAGTCCTGCGAGATCACCCAGACCAGAAATGATGCTTCTCTAACCTTTGATAGCCTCGAACGTCAACTACGCAAACGGTGTTCCATCCGGACCTAAATGCCCTATTTCCTATAAAAAAGAAAATCTGTGATATCTCACCAGTGTAGTAGGTGCTCAATACTGAATAAGGGGAAAATTTATGAAGAGGGACCCACGCAGGCGATGTTCTGAGTGGCGTGTTTACCCCGTCTACCTACCCTCTCCTCCCCCACCGCACTAGTAACAACTAGTCTATAGTCTATGCCCATGAGTCTCTGTTTGTCCTGCTTGTTTGTTGCTTTTAGGTTTATATCCCACATGGAAGTGATATCATGTGATTTTCAACTTTTTCTGTCTGGCTTATTTCGCGTAGCATGATTATCTTGAGGTCCATCCATGTCGTCGCAAATGGCAGTATTTCATCTCTTCTTATGGCTGAGTCATATTCCATCGTATATATGTACCACAGCTTCTTTAGCCAATCATCTATCGTAGGATACTTCGGTTGCTTCCATGTCCTGGCCACTGTGAATAATGCTGCTGTGAACGTCGGTGTGCAAATATCTTTTCAGATATGGGTTTTCAACTCTTTAGGGTAAATACCCAGTAGAGATCGCTGGATCATATCGCAGATCAATTCTTAGAGTTTTGAGGAACCTCCATACTGTTTTCCATGGTGGCTGTACCAATTTCCAGTCCCATCAGCAGTGTATGAGGGTTCCTTTTTCTCCACATCCTCTCCAACATTTGTTACTACTTGTCCTGTTGATTACAGCTATTCTAACAGGTGTGAGGTGGTATCTCATTGTGGTTTTGATTTGCATTTCCCTAATAGCTAGCGATGTTGAGCATCTTTTCATATGTTTGTTCGTCGGTGGCACCCCTTTAGTGAGGTCTCTGAGACCGGAAGCAAGCCCTCTTCCCGGTGCGCCTCGGTGGCCTCCTGCCTGGGCCTTGGCCTTGGCATGGGTTCCAGGTGCAGCTAGCTCCTTGCGTCTGCTCCCCGCTGGGGACTGAGAACGTCCCGCGTTCACAGAGAGCTCTGTTCTCCGCCGTCCTCCCTGCAGGAATATGTAAATGCCGGGTCACCGATGCCACACATGTTTATTGAGTGCTCTGCTGGGCACCGGGGACAGAGTAGTGAAAAAACATACAAGGCCCCTGATCTCACGGGACTTATTCTAGTGGGGTTGCCAGACTGAAAGCAAAGCCAGGCGGGGTGGCAGAGTGACGGGGCGGAGTGCCGTCTGGTGGCCTGTCCCATTGGAAAGGACCCGGTGGCATGTAACTGAGTATCGCAGAGCAGGCTGCCTCTGAATATTATATTGTGTTTGGCACAGACATAATAATATTAAATTGCTTACCATCAGAACTAAGGTATTAATGCCGAGCAAATTAGTTATAAGTACAGTGTTTTTATAAAACTAATTCAGGAATCTCTGCAACCAACTGAATTTTTTTTTTATCAAAAGCTTTCGAGGCTATTAATAGAATTTAGTATTTGCCTATTAACTCCAATTAAACACTTACTTTATGGACTGAATTAGTATATAGGGTGGGTAGGCTAATAAAAATAGAAAATATTAAATCAAATTAATTTTTTTATGTTTTTGCTATTATTAGCTTGGAGAATTAATTTTTGACTCTTACTTTGTATAGTCACATTACAGTCCATTATCAAATTGGTTTTCTTCACCCCCAGATTATACCAGGATCTAACTGTCCTCCATCATCTCGAGCACTAGCATCGTGGTCCAAGCTACGTCATCTCTCACCTAGACTTTTGCCCTCATCTCCTAAATTCCTATTGGCCAGGAGACAGTTAGCCCCTTCCTGCTGCGCCTGGTCAAAGGCCGTTAGATTATGTCACACATCGTGAGCCTCCAGTGACTTCCTCTCACGCACACAGTGAAAACCGAAGCCCTGGCCTGGCCTGGGCGCTGTCCGTGGTGATCTGGACCCTTCTCGCCCTTGGCTGCTCGCCCCTCCTCCCCCACCCGCTGCAACCCTGGGTTGGGGGCTGGGATGGGAGGCTCCACCTCCTGGAACACAGCGGGCACGCTTCCGCCTCAGGGCTTCGCCCGGTAGAGGAGAAGGCCGCCAAACCCTGGGGATCTAGCCAACACATTCCAGTGAGAAGAGAGAGTAAGAAATGGAAGACAGTTTTGATTGAAGAATTATCTTGTTTTTAAAATAATTTACGGCTTTTTTATGCAGCGCATTTCTCAAATTTATCTGACAGTTCATCAGATAATCAGAAGTGACACATATTGCTAAAATTCGTTGTGGCTTATTCATTTATACTGTTCACCATGAACCACGGACTAATAAAAGCCACGTTCAAGTTCAGTCTCATTCAGTTTGCTCGACCTGTAATCAGGAGCTAATAGAAAATGAAACGACCCCATATGGTGGCCTGGATGCGGGGAGGCCCCGGCCTGGGTGACCACCGTCTTCGTGATCCTGGGACGTGGCATCCTGGTGGGCCCCAGTGGGCGGAGCACCCATGACATCTCACAGCAGTCAGAGCCAGAGTGCAATTTCACATCGTCTTTTCCCAAAACAATTGCAGTATTTCGTGCTTTCTTTAGCTTTCAAAATATTTTGTAGCATTTTAGTAGGTAATGATTTTTAACCTCAGCTTAAACATAACTGTGGCTCTGAGGACAGAGGGGGAGCACGGCGCACCCCACGTGGCTTTCCTGTTCGTCGTGACGCCGAGCTTGCACCTTCACGTCTGTGCTCTAGTTCAGGCGGTTTTGCTGCATGTGGAAACCCATCTGATTTTCAAATGCTCGTTTAAGAAGTTACTGAAGAGTCGCACGTGTATTTTTGAGTCAACCCTTTCCCTAAGCGTTACACACTTGCAGTGAGGTGTGTGCACGGACGGATAGGTGGGCGTGGCTTGAACCGAGGGGTCGCGAACCTTTTCTCGCCCCCATTCCAGACCCTGATATCCGGAGCCGTGGTCGAACAGCTTGACTTCCTCCGAATCAGCGACACGGAAGAGTAAGTCCCTTTGGGTCGTTACTGTCATTCTTGAGATCGCAGCAGAGATGCAGGAAATCCGACACTTTCTCTTTTTCATTTCTAGGCTTCCAGAATTTAAGAGTTTTGAGGAGCTGGAGCTCCCCAAACATTCAAAAGTCAAACGACAAAGCAGCGCCTCCAACAGCCCTGAGCTGGAGCAGCAGCCGGATGTCACCATGGCTGAGTGGAAAAGCCGGCCGACCCATGAGATTCTTCAAAAACTGCAGGTGAGGACGGTGCGGTCCCCAGCGGCCCCGAGCGAGGTGGCAGAGCAGGGCCTCGCAGGGGCGGCCGCGTTTCCTTTGCGTCCTCCGAGAAGGTGGCACTGAGGTAGAGGGCGCGTCTGTGCCAGGGCAGTGGTGGAGGCTGTCCCCACGGGCTGATGGCAGCGTCAGAGTCTCGGAGGTGCCTGGGGCGTGGGGATGAGCGGGGTTGTCTTGGATACGAAAGCGCCTTCTGGACCACGCAGGGAGCCGTGTCGGTGACGGTTGCCGCTGGGGGCCAGGTGCCCTGCAGCGCCCTCGCCCTCGCCCTCCCCTGACGGCCCGGACCGCCTCCCTGCCCCGCGTTCCGGTCGATGCTCGCTTTAAGTCCCCGGCCGCTGAGGAGAGCGGGCCCGTGACCACATCCACGTGACTGTTATGTTAGCGGCCTCGTATTTTGCCGCCCCTGAGGTCTGCACTTTCAAAGAGGAGGCGAGGGGGTCAGAGTGCGGTACTTAGCCAAGAAGCTGAAATTCTAGTGGTAGAGATGTAAATATTATGACATCTTGTCGGGCCATCAAAATCTGAGCCTGTAGGCTAAGTATACATCCTGCCAGACATCACCGGTCCTCGTGACCGATGGACATTATCTCCGGACATCACTGTGCCTTGCGACCGATGGACTTTATCTCCGGAGCTCCGGAAGCATGAATGTGGCGTGGACACATAGCCCGCTGCAGCGTCCTGACGTAGCGCACACTCTCCACACATCCCGCCTTCCATTCATCTCTTCCTGACAGGTGCTCAGCAGCCCCGGCTCCCGTTTACGTTTATGGACCGGGAAAGTCAAGTGGCTGGGCCAGGCCCCTCACAGAGTGGCAGAATAGGTCTCACTGCTTGTAGATGGCTCCTTTTCTATCCCTTGCTTAGCTCGTTTCCTGGAAACTTTGATGATTGACTCCTGCTACCCCAGGAAGCCCGCCGGCCTGCGCCTCGAGTCCTGACGAGTGCTTGGCGTGTCCTCGCGTGCTGGGTGGTGGCAGCGACGTGTTATTTTTCCTCAGCTCCAAAGCAGCATTTTTCTCTCTGCGTCATGTGCGTTCGAGCTCGGCCACCCCGGGGGAGTTTTTGTCCCCATTTCACTGCCGTCACTCACAGCGGCGTCTGTTTTCAGGAGTGCAGTTGCCTGTGCGGCCAGGTCATCCTGCTGGGCATCCTGCTCAAGAGAGAGGGCCCCAACTTCATCACCAAGGAAGGTAGGGTGCGCGTCTGGGCGTCTCAAAACAGTGAGACCACTCTGCTGCCACCGTGTACCGATGCGTGTCATGAATACCCACCAAAATGTCACAGTTTATTTTCTCCTCCTTTAAGTGGGAAATCTCTATTCATGCCCCTTGAGTGGAATGGACCGTTGGATGTGGACTCCCACACTGCTTAGCGACGCTTGGCCATCTCTGGTTGTCTGAAGGGCGTTGGAACCCAGATTCTGCCTGGGACTGTTAACGCGGATGACGCCACGGTTGTTTAGGGCCAGTTTCTGTGTTCGGTTTTATTTTCTGTATGTTTTCAAGGACAATGCTGAATTGTGACGGCTATAAAAATTAGCTGCCGATGGTCTGTAGCAGCCATTTGGAATGGCATATGGCACTTAATAGGATTGTGCTCTAAGGACTGTTAACAAAAACGAATTGTTTCTGATCATGTCCACGTCCACTCTGCAGTCATGGGAGAACCCAGTGACCCCTGACATCCACGTCCACGTGTTGAGTCACTATCTTCAGGAGTCTGAATTCTCCACCGTGGTCTGCTTCTGGAATGTTCTAACAAAGAACAGTGCAGAATACATTGCAAGTGCTTAATATCTAGCTAGTCAAAGTTTTTGCCTGATCTGAATGAATGTCCTCTGTCCACGGGGGTGTGACAGTCCTCTGTCCATGGGGGTGTGTTGATTTGGTTGGAATTAGAAATTGAGTCAGTATTTTAAACGGCAATGTCATTAGTATGAGTTATACCTTTGGTAGCAAATGAAACATAATTGCTTATTCAAGTAAGGTCTACTTACTGTGTTTACATTATTGTAGCTCAGAGATAGCCTTTTGGAGTGTTAGACATGTGAGTCGAATAATACTAATTTTCTTATTAGCTAATTAAAGTAGAACTTTGAGCAAATTTCACACAGAATCTCTCATTTCTAATTAGTATTGAAACTGTAAGTATAAGCACAACCCTGATTATATCGAGGACATTCATCGAAATTTATACTTTAACTAAATAGCATTTTTAAAAAGCAGACATTTCGTTAGGAACCTAGATTTCAGAATGGTTATTTTAGTAGTGTTTTAAAATAAAACAAAACTTACATAAAATAGTTTATAATGACCGTGCCGAGGTAATTATCTTTTAAACCAGTTTTATAAACGGGAGTAATGCTCATCTTTTACTTGGCTTTTGAAAGACTTTAAATGTTGTAAGCCTGTAAAACCTTGACAATCATGAGCACCTATAGAATCTGAACGTAACTTCATCCAGTTCGTTCAGGGTAAAATGGTAAAGTTTTTATTCTGTGCTCTCGTTCCCTTTTTGACGCTCTGTCCTGTCACGTGATTGATTTATTGATGCACCAGCCGTGGGCCAGAGCGCACGGAGCCGCGTGGTGTCTTTCGACCGATAGTGTATGATGTGGGGTGATGGCGTGCATAAGTCTCCATGAAGTTTGGTGAATAAATACATGAAGGATCCTGTATGTACAGAGTCTATAGCATTCGCTCCATTTGCTATATTCCGTTTTTTATTTTCTGCAATAAATTAAAAAACTTATTTTTATTGATTAAATACTTAGCTTGCATATTGATCAAGAAAGCAATAAATTTAAATAAAGTACTCAAATCGTATACTCAAGGATGGTCCACCTTCACACTATGTAACATGGGCCACGTCTTTAAATACGTGACACCTATAAACAGGATTTGTCAGGCAGTTCAGAGCATTAATGAATGAGGGTGCACCAACTCTAGTGGGTCAAACTGAAAATCCGGGAGTTATTTTTTTTAAAAGAGAATACATTTATGCATTTAATTAAAAGCCTTTTTTCAACAAAGACTGTTATCTAATGCCTAGGTACCGTTTCTGACCACATCGAGAGAGTCTACAGAAAAGCTGGCAGCAAGAAGCTGTGGTTCGTATCGGTGTCCTCGTCATTATGTTTTATGTTTTGTGTTGTCATATTCAGTAGCCTAAAGATAACGGACCAGTCTTAAAGGTGGTCGTTCAGCCTAATTCCTACTTTGAAACTCCGAGGTTAGCGCACGGTGACACTGCCTGCTTTCCAAGGATGTGCCTGCATGCCACCGTGTCACGGCTCTCCCGAGGTGTTAGAAAGTGTCCGTAGGAATAAGACCTGGCACTTATTCACCGGGACGCCATGCCGATGACTCTGTCCCGCCCTGCGCCCCCTCGGTCCCTCCCCGCACCCCCTCGGTCCCTCCCCGCACCCCCCCCGGTCCCACTCTATCCCGCCCACGCCCCCTCTGTCCCAGCAAGGCGCTTCAGGCTCTGCTCTGTAGGGGAGGACAGTTCTGCTGTCATGGCACAAAGGCCATGTAGAGACCAGCGGGTCATTTGATCATAAGCGCAGACAGTACACGTAGGAGGCAGCTGCCTCACCACGTAAGCCGAATGAATCCCAGTGAGCGCAGCTGCTACGTGAGAAAAAATAATGCCAGTATGTTCTGCAGAGGTAGCTCTTCCCAGAGACCGAAACAAACATTAGGTAAGTTGAGAGAACACTGTTTAAATTCACAGTGGGGCAGGTGTGCTTCGATGCATGGCTCTCTGCATTTCGAAGCAATTCGAACAGTCTTACTGGCAGAATCTAACATTTTGGAAGATTATATATATGTATATGTATATATATATACAGACGTGTATATATATATGTATATATATTAAATGACCAATTATTTTCTAATTTTGAAAAAAAAAAAGTCTCAAGAAATATAAGAAATTCCCTTAACCTTAGTGACCCCCAGGATTCTAATCTTTAAAATAAGGGTATTAATAAAAAATCTCTTAGTGGTATTTCAACTCTATAATTATAATAAATATGCCCTTCCAACCCAGAAGAAATCATGTAATAATCCTGTGGTTAAATCTCAGATTTTCACTACCACTTGTCAGCACAGTAAGGCCTGCAAACTGGTCGATGGAGCTTTCCAGCCAGCGATTCTCAGTATGGGCCATGCTGTTATCTGTTTTTGCTTTACGTGTTATACTTGCATCTTAGAGCTTTAACTAGCGACGTTCAGAGCGCTGACTATTACGTGTAGAGGACAAACTCCTGGCAGTTTTAGTGACTCTGTTTTCCCTCCCCTGGCTTTCCACTGACACACCCAGGTTGGCGGTGCGCTACGTGGCTGCATTCACCCAGAAATTTTCCTCCTCTATAGCCCCACACATTACTACCTTACTGGTCCATGGGAAACAGGTAACACGCACAAGATGTGGACGCTCGAGCTGCTTGAAATGTGTGGGCTTATTTGCATTCCGAGGGCGAAACATCTTTCGGTCTTACAGTGTGTGGGTAGAAGCTTCTCTAAAAGTAGGAAGTGTTTGTTTCACTAACTTCATCAGTTATGGACCTATTTTTTTTTTTTTTTACAACTTCATCTATATTGAAATTAAGGAATAGAAATCTTTTTTATAGGTCGGCTTTTACGAATATCCTGAAATACAAGAAAACAGTTTAAACCTATACTTTAATTTTATTTTTCCATTGAAAAGTTCCACATGAATTTTTACTTTTGAGGGAAAAAAAAATCCTATATATTGCATGTGCTGTGCTTGAAAAAAGAAATCTCTTCTCCTTATAGTCTAAGACTTTTTCAGAAATGTAAAAATAGCGGCGCGAATTCCTTCCAACATTCTGGCTTTATCCGGAAAAGTAAATGCTGGTATCTCATTGTATCACTTCCTACAATTGAGCCCTGACTGAGCCCCTAATCCAGGAGTCTGCTTATCTAGGCACCAAAAGAAACATGGTTTAAAGTGATCGTAGGAGCAGATGACATCGACCAGTGACAGACTTAATAATGAATCTTTCGATGCAAAATCGGAACGCTCAATTCCTCCCCCGACCCGCTCCCCGTCAGAGGAATAGTTCGCCTCCCTTTTCTTTCTTTTCAAGTCCATAACGGGCGCAGATGATGCTGGTGGCAGAGGCGAGGCGCAGGGCCCGTCCCTCACCCCGGGCAGTGGCTCCTACAGTTGGAATTGCGGCTGTGAGGGCCACTGCCTTGGGCTCCGCGTTCCTTCCGCACGATTCTGTGAGGCCCCACTGGTGCGGTTCCTACGTGTCCCCGTCACGGCCCCCTCGCTCGTGGGTTGGGTCGTGACCCTCTGGCCTGCTCTCTTCTCTGCCCCCAGGTCGGTGGTGCGCCGCGCGGCAAGCCTCTTAAGTAAAGTAGTGGACAGCCTGGCCCCATCCATTACTAACGTTTTAGTGCAGGGCAAACAGGTAAGTGTCTGCTCACACCCCACCCGGTCATGGTCACGGTCACGGTCACGGTCACGGACGTCCCTGGGCAGGACCCCTCCCTCTCAGTCAGACAGCCTCCGTGTCCTGGGCCACTCATAGCCGCGTGAACAGTGGCCCAGGCACACCTGCAGACAGGTGTAGGGCAGGTGAGGCGAGGATAGGTGGGCGTGACAGGCACGCCTTCCCTTCCCCTTCACATGAGAGGCTCCCAGACCCCCAGCCCTCTGGGCCACATGCCCCTTGTACCAGAGCCAGCTCTTGTCAGCCGTTCCTCAAAGAGCCACCTCCAGCCGGCGGTCCCCGCCCCTCCCAGTTCTCAATTCTCGCAAGCCGCCCTGGACCCCGTCCCTCTCAGCCCTGTGGGCCGTGAGCCACGGGAGTCAGGGCGCAGGAACTGTCCCGCTGCCCCCTGCGTGTCCAGCCTGGGGCCCGGCTTGACGCGACACTTGGCACTGGCAGAGCGGGGCCGGTGCATGCGCTGTGCAGAGCGGGCCGTGGCTGTTCGTGTCTCGCTTTGTTTTCTCTGAGCTCCGCTGGCCTGGCTGAGTCGCCGTTTGGTTGGAATGAACAGCTGTGTCCTTTCTTTCTCGCTGGGACCCTGTGTGCTTTGTTGTGTCTCCTGGACGCTAATCCAGGGGTCTAAGCGTTCACATCATGAAGCGCTCGGACTGTCCTTCATGAAATCAACCCATCGCTCATATTCCGGGGCTCTTAATTCATCAAAATCCAAATGGTTTCGTCCTGATACCCAGCTTTCGAAATGTTAGAATAAGTTATTTATTTTATCCTGTAAAATTTAATAGCAGTGAAAAAAAAAATGATCGTAGTAAGAAAACACTCCCGAGAACAAATTAAATCCCTTTCACATGTTATTTTTCCTGTTTTCTCCAAATTTTTAAGAGGCAGAATTTTCATCGCCATTCACCAGCTGGGTCGAGCGAGGTGCAGGAAGCGGCTCATCCGCTGTCTTTGCACCCAGCAGCCCGACGCCGGCCAGAGGCCTGCAGAATCCCCCTCTGACGGGGACGGAACGGGCTTCAGCCAGCGCTTCTTCCTTGGATTTTAGGCCCCTGTGGAACGTCTGAAAATATAGTGAATTCTGGCACACATGAGCCCGCGCGAAGGCTTCGGAGGTCTTTGAGGCCGCTAGCACCTGGCACCGGGGCTGACAGTGGGCTAGAGTTGGTCAGGTCCCTCCCTGCCAGAGCCTGTCCTGGGGCTGCGGCTGGGCCGCTGCCGGTCAGGCCCGCACGTTTCCCTGGAAACAGTCACTTACAGAGCAGAGCGAGCAGGGGGCCCACGGAGCAGCCACTGGCTGCATCCTGCCCCTTTGCGGAGCAGAAACGAGACTGGAGCGCGGAGCTGGCATTCGCGCTGTGGTGATGTTTCCGCCCAGCACGTTCAGGTCCCCCTCGCGCTCTCTGCGGGGACGTCTTGGCTCAGTCCTGTGCTTTCCACGTGTCGTCTTCATCACGCACTGACATTTTAGTACACGTAATTGCACTTGGGCTAACTGGTCGGTCTCACTCGTGACGAAATAAACCAGCAGTTCTCTGTTTTCATCCCATCGCAAAATTGGGGCGAAAGACCCCGTGTTTGCTCTCCCCTCACCTCTGGAAACACGGGCCCCGTGCGTGGGAGACAGAGGGGGTAGTAACGGGGAGCAAGGAGGGGCTCGGACCCCGGGAGGCAGGCTGCCAAGGACAGAGGGCGGAGAGCGACCACAGGGTCCCCCTCGCCAGCTTCGGGAGCACTTTCTGCTTGGGGGCCTCGTCGCTGGCCCCCTCTGTGCTTTCTTGTCCCCAGCCTCGTGGGCAGCCCGTTTATCCCGCTGCACAGGTGCGAGGTACACCCCAGGTGTTTCGGCACCCACCATGCCAAGACAGGACAGGTGGGGCTGCTCGGCAGCGGGCTGACCTCGGACCTGACTCTGAAAGGGCCACGGTGCAGAAAGGTCCCCATGAGAACCTAGAAAGGAAGTGACAGATACGCTCTCACATGCCGCATTGTGTAGACAGACGTGCCCTAAAGTCCTGGTTCCTCCGGGGAGTTTCTGGGATTAAAGTCATTGAGAATAACTTGATCTCGATGGTTACTTAGACTCCTTCCTGCTTTTCTCCCCTTCCCTCCCTAACCGGCACCCTCCCCGCCCGTGTCTTAGGCCAGACCGAACGCTCGCGGACTCCAGTGGGAGCCGTGCTCTGAAAGCCATTTAATAAAGATCAGGAGCAGTTTATTCCCCCAGTTCCCTGGCTCGCACAGAGTAATTTCAGCCTGCCAGTCATCCTGGGCCCCGGACTTTTTCCTCGTGTCTCGTAGTAGCCAGGAGACGCATATAATAAAATTCTGCCGCTCTAGGTGACCCTGGGTGCCTTTGGCCATGAGGAGCAGGTGATCTCCAACCCTTTGTCCCCAAGAGTGATTAAGAACATCATCTACTACAAGTGCAATGCCCACGACGAGAGGGAGGCGGTCATCCAGCAGGAGCTGGTCATCCACATCGGCTGGGTCATCGCCAACAGCCCCGAGCTGTTCACAGGCATGCTGAAGATCCGCATCGGGTGAGTACGGCGTGGAGAAGCGTTTGCGCCGCCCTCCGACAGGCTGGGCTCCGTAGGTGAGGTGCCGCCCCAGGGCTGGTGGCGTTTTAGGGCAGTGCCCACCCCCGCCCCGTCCCCTGAGCCATAGGAGCAGCCTTGGTGGTGTGGAGAAGTGAGTTCCAGGGGCCTCCCGTTGATTTACCTCCCACGTTAGACGTAGTGAAGAAACTCTGTTCTCTGGTTAAATCACACTCCAGGGATTTAAAACCAAAACCCCAAACCGAAAACCAAAAACACAACTAAAAATTCCTGTAAATAAAATGGACAAGCCCCAAGAGAAGTATGATTTTCAGTGAAACTGGAAGTCAGGAGGACACACTGAAATAAAAATTTGATCCTTTTAAAATATCCTGCCGTATCCATTGTCTACCCAAATCTAATTTTTAATCATAAAACCATAAGTGTTCTGTTTGGAGAAGAAATTGAAAAGTTCGGCTCTGGCGATCCTGAATCTTCTTAAGAATCTTTCGAGGCCACGCCGGAGGGCAGGCTGGCCAGGCGCCGGCGGTGGGCAGGACAGCCGCTTACCGGCTCGGTGACCTGGGACCCACAGCTGAACCCCCCTCGCCCGCCTTTCGTGCCAGACTCCTTGTTGTATGTGAGGTGAACAAGATGGCGGGTTTAAAAAGCCTGTCACAACCAAACGAAGTATAAATGTCACTTTCCCTTTCTTAGAATATACTTTTGATGGTACAAGTACCACGTGAATATGTGCCGATCGCGAAAGTGTCAGGCGCTCCCCCGGCAGGTGGAGTCGCCAAATGTGGCTTTTTCCGGGGTGTTCCTCAGGCGTTTGAGAAGAATATGCAGTGTGTCTGGCACCAATATGTGTGTGTGTGTGTGACTGTGTGAGTGTGTGAATGTGTACAAATGCGCAGCTTGCTAATGGCGTAATTAGATCATCAGTATCTTTACTATTTCTATTCTCCTTGATCCTCGATTGCTGATGAAATCTTTACATTTTCTCATTGTAATTACGGATGCGTCAAGTTCTTGCATTTTTATCCGTTTTGCTTTGTGTATTTTAAAGCTTTGTTTTTGTCCACGTCATTTTACAGTTTTTATCACCGTATTTTCCTTTGCGTCATTTATTGCTTTTCAACTCAAATTCTCAAAAAAAGTATTTTGAATTTCGAACCCCCGCCCCCGGTGGTGTGGAGAATTGTATCGTGATGCCCTGTGTGCGTGTGTGTCCCCAGCGTCATCGCTGTCTTTGTACGGTCACTTACTTCATTCACGCCCCACCTGCTCCCCACGCCCCCCGCTAGATTGAAGGCAAATCTGTCATGTCACTGGATCCGTCAATACTTCGTCATATATCTCTTAAGAGTTAAGAAAGTTGTAAAAACGTAACCACGATGCCGTTGCAACGCCTGAAGTATAACGATGGAATCATTTCCCGCGTACTCTGTCCTCCCCGTGTTATTTTTAGCTCGGCGCATTGTCTCCACCCTTCGCCGTCACTGTTCTTTTTTCGTTTCGTGTAGATGTATCTTTTATGTTCAGCGTTTATGCCGTATGTGTTTTTAATCCAATCGGAGATGATCTTTTAATAGAAGTACATATTTCACATTTGTGCCACTTAAAAAATATTTTGATGTCCTCCTGCCATTGTATGTGACGTTTTCTGCTGATACTTTCTCGTTGCTACTTTTCCCCTTTCTTCTTTGCTGTTGGATGGATTTCCTTTTCGTTTCTTAGTTTTAATTTTGCATACGAAATGCACTTTTGGAAAATTATCTCTTTTTTTCCTTCAAAAATTACATATAAAAACTAGTTGCTTTTTGGGCTGTGTCTGCATGCCTCTTGTTTCAGCGATTCTCATTCTGGGAGTTTAGACATTTCACAGCAGTCTTTATTTTATCGTTGTTTGGAACAGCGAAACGGCAGAAACAACCCGGATGTCCTCCAGCGGGAAATAGTTTGAATAAAGTGTCGTGGCCATACAGAAAAATGCCGCGTAGCCATAAAAATACAAGACAAAGTCTACATGCTGACATTTATAAATGTCCAAGATAAATTGAGTGAAAAAAATTGCAAATGTATTATTCTATTTTTTATAAAAGAACAGTAATAATACTGTGCATATAAATGTATTTATAGGAAAATATCTGAAAAATATACATCAAATCGATGTCAGTTATTTTCTCTAAATCTAGAGATTTCTGTTTTGTAGGTTATATTTTTAAGTTTTATTTAGACATATTTTGATACGTTATTTTACAAACTACTTGCCCGATTTCAATGACAGTGTATTTCGGGTGAATTTGCCATTTTTATCTCCTCTTTCTTTCGATCGAGAAGTGAATTCACTCTGCACAGAAGGTGACTTTCATTTTCATCCCTTAAAATTGTTCCTTTCAAAGCTTGAGAGGCATTTCGAAGCGGTAATAAGAACGTTGACACATACCCTGGTTCGCTCAGTCTGTTTTCTTTAATACTCTCACCTCTGAGGCGTCACTACCTGTGAGGACACAGAAATGGTCTTCCGTGTGCATTGTCTCTAAATGAGAAGGAATGTGACTCTCCGGGTCCAGACGGAGTGTTCACAGACGGGGTGTTCACAGACGGGGCGTTTCTCCGAGGCTGAATGCAAAGTGAGGGTTACAACCCTCCAGAGCACACTGTGTCGCAAACGCCCGTGTCACAATGCCATAGCACCTGTGTGAGTGGGAGTCACCACGCAGAGGTTTAGGCAGAACCTCAGAGTCAGAGTGAGCGGTTTGCCAGGATTTTACCAGCTCTGTTTTCTAACCTCAAGGAGTTTTCCCTTTAGTGCTTATTCAGCATTTTGGGCTAACAAGTTTTCTCAAAAACTCAATGTCATTTCTGGTTTTGAATTCAGATCTGGCCTGAAGCTTCTTTCTCTTCATGGGAATGAAGTAGGTTTCGTTCATTCGCTGACTTAATATTTAACGACGGCAGAAAACTTGTAGCGGAGAAATTTCGTCACGAAGGTTTTATTATTCGCTGTCCTGAGACTCATCCTGGAATTGGTTGTCGTGTTTTATCCCCGCTGCGGGCACTAACGGTGCCCCTGCCTAGCTCGTGATGGGCATTTTGCTCTTTGCTCTTATGTGGATTCACAGAGTCAGCTGTAAACACCGGCATATTTTCATCTGTGGACCAGAACATCTCTCTCTTTCTCTCTCTCTCTCTCTGTCTCTGTTTGTGTGTGTGTATGGCATATTATATCTCCTCAATATAAATTTGTTGAAGAATAACTGTGATCAAAAACATCCCAATGCCTGACTGCCCCGACTTAATGGTATCTGTATTTAAATGTGATAAAACTCAGAAAGCTTGTGGGCCTCAGCATGTGCTTACCAGAAACAAATAAAACAATTTAGGACTAGTTCCTATATTTCAAAGCAACAACTTGAATTCCAAGTCTGCCTCCACACCAAAGGCGGG